ATCCACGCACAACCTCATACTTCCATCTTTTTTCTTGACAAAGAGTACTGGTGCTCCCCAAGGTGACACACTTGGTCTGATGAACTATTTTGATAGAAGTTCCTCTAATTGTTTCTTTAGTTCAACAACCTCTACAGGTGACATCCTATAGGGTGCAATAGAAATTGGCCCTACTCCAGGTATTAGGTCAATGGAAAATTCAATTTCTCTGTTTGGGGGTAAACTTGGAATTTCATCCGAAAAAACCTCTGAGTATTCAGAGACAATAGGGATACTGGTTGCATCAGGTTTAGCCTTTGCTTCTGAAAGATTAAAGAGAACATATCATTGTGCTCCATCTAACAAATTTTTCCTAAATTGAGAAGTTGACAAGAATAAAGATTCATTTGGGAGTTCTGACTCTTTTGTGAAAATTATCCTTTTATTATGACAATCAATGACCACACAGTTTGCAGACAACCAATTCATACCAAGGACTACATCAATGTAAATCATAGGTAAACAAACTAAATCTATTCTAAACTCTTTCCCTTCAACTTGAAGAGGACAATTTTTACAGACTTGAAATGTGATAATTTTCTCTCCAGTAGGAAGAAAAATTTCAAGATAAGAAGATAGAATAGATATTGGTAATTTTAACTTTTGAGTAGGAGATAAGGATATGAAAGAATGAGTAGCCCCAGAATCAAACAGTACAGTTATAAGAGAATCTTGTATTAGACCAGTACCTTGAACCAAATTTGAAGTTTGAGCTGCTTCCTGACCACTAAGAGTGAAAACTCTTCCTCTTGTTGTAGTTTGAGTTGATGAATTCTGACCTTGATTCTGAGGACACTGCCTCAACATATGTCCAAGCTTTCCACATTTAAAGCATACGCCTCTTCATGCTAGGCATTCTCCAGCATGATTTTTTTTTGCACTTTGGACATACCTGAATATGAGAATTCATTTGTCCTATATTCTTCCTTCCTCTGTTGTTAGCAAAGTTATTTCCTGAGTTTTGTGCCTGTGAAAACCTTCCTTTGTTGTTGTCATCATTCTTTCTTCGACTTGAAACTCTGTCTTTCTCTCTTCCCTCCTCAGCTTCCTTCATGCTTGCTTCAATGTCTCTGCACCTGTTTATTAATGATGAGAAATTCCTGATTTGGTGTCCTATTATCATACTTTTTAGTTCAGGTTTTAGTCCAGATTCAAAGTTAGTTGTCATCCATTCTTCATTAGGTTGATTTTGTATATAATTAGAATATCTGGATAATTCCTCAAATTTTGCCCCATATTCTCCAACAGTCATGTTTCCTTGTTTCAGTTGAAGGAATTCTATTTCTTTTCTTTTCTTACACTCTGAGGAAAGTATTTTTCTAAAAAGGCATCTTTAAAGATTGTCTAAGTAATCTCTGTTCCTTGGCTTTGGAAATATCTTTTGGTATTTGTCCACCAATGCTCTGCTTCTCCAATCAACAAGTAGGTGGCAAAGTTTACACGATGAGTATTAGGACAGTCCATTACTAGAAATATTTTCTCAAGTTCTTTCACCCATTCCATGGTTTCCTCAGGGTTATAATCTCCACGAAAAGTGGAAGGTTTATGCTTACGAAATTCAGTGAGTCCTTTATAATCAAAATTAAGTCCTCCCTGAGTATCTGCAGTTCTAGGTCCATTCTCACTCTCAGAATTATGGGTGTGATTTCTGGTTGCACGATCCTCCCTTAACTCTTGAATAATTTGTTGATTAGTAACAGTTTGTGTTGCTCAACAGAATCCGATGGTCCTTCTTGAAACTTGTAGATCGGCTCCTTCTGTTTCGAATGGTGCGGATCTTGGCCGGAAATGTCGCTGGAAAAATTTTCCGACGGCTGCTGACGGTGGCTGACGGCGGTGGAAAGCTGGGATTTTTCCTTCTACAGTGATTGGTAGCCTTACTTTGCTCTTGGGACTTTGTAGGAAGGGAAAATAACCTTAATAATGGTTGGAGGTTGAGTTTTTCGGCGTTGTGCCGCCGCTTTGACGGTGGTTGTGGTGGCTGAGTTTTCTCAGGACCAACCTGCTCTGATACCATGTAAAGAACCAATTCAACCCAAAAGCTTAAGCTGTTGGGTGAGGTTACATTAATGATTTTATATATCTCAACAGTTTGTTCTCTAAGAGCTTCTGCCACTCGGGTAAATGCATCCGTTACTGGGTTAATTTCTGGTTAAGAAGTTGAAGAAGATATTTGCCTTGTATCTGCCATAGATCTACATATATTGTTTTATGATAGTGAGTTGATCAGGCTCATTAAAATAACTCAAAATATACATGATCTATGACAAAATAAAAGCACTATAATAGTTTAGGTCTTTTATTTACCTGACAGCTGCTCTGATACCATAAAATGTAATAACCTCTGATTATTCCAGTATAGAGAATATCACCTCTCTTTTTTTTAACTAATATATTTAATAATGATAATAAATAAATAAGAATATTAAGAAAATAAATAAGAAAGATTAACTGGGAATACTAACATCCTTCATTGTTTATACATGCATGGAAGTCGGTACAAATATTTTACACTCTAAATATTTTACATCAGTTCCACACCTATATTACATTCCTAACTACATCAGGTTACAATATTTATTCTCCATACTTCTCATTCTAGTCTAGCCTATAGGTGTAGGACTCCACACTGCCTGCATGGAATATGGCTGCTCCTCCTTGGTTTTCAACTATTATGTAAAATTCCCAACGATCGTCATAAAAATAAACATTCACAGTCCATCCTTCTCCAGAAAAAAATAAGTTAGGCATGATGATTTTCTGGAAAGGTTAGCATAAAATAAATCAATTTGAGATAATTCTCAGTAATATTGAGGTGTTTAAACTATAACTATTTCTAGCCATAATAATGGAAAATATCAATCTCCCAAGTTTATTTTATAACTGAAATAATAACATAAATAATAAATAATAATAACAAATTGTGTAATATTTAACTGAAGCCAATTTAATTCCCAATTTTGTGGGTCTCCTACTTGTGAAAAGTTATTATATGGCGGAGCTCAGGCCATGATAAGGCGTCCCTTACCCTAACTATCTGATCCTAAACTTTTAAGGATCAGTTCACAGTAGTAACATACAGTTAAAATTTACCCATCCTCTTAATATTTATTTGGTACCAAATAATTTATTGCATCTTACTCCTACGGAAAAATTTAAAATTTGATGAAATCATAATAACATGAGAGGTAGAATAAAATTAAAAGAAAGATTAAGGTAGGACTATAAATGCAAATAATATTAAATAAAAGAAGAAATTAAAAAAATATTTTGACAGAATAACAGCTTTACAAAAAAAATGAAAAGAATATAACTAGAAGGAAGAAAATAGAGAGAAAGTTTTGCTCTTTCAATATTACTTTTCAATTATTCTATCACCGTCTTCTTCCTATTTATTACTCTCTGTCAAAAATTTCTTCAACTTTTCTCTGTTTTTCTAGCATCCCCACCCCTTCCTAATCTTTCTTTACTATCAACATGAAAGTGACAACACTTATCTCTATATATAGTCACGTTTTTGGAAGCTGATTCATTCTTTTTTTTTTATACATCATTTAACTTACCTCACTTGCTTGACATCATCCAAATTCCAGTAACTTGTATTTGTGGCTTGGAAGGGGGTGTTCCACGTGGCCCCCTCCTTGCCATATATATATATATATATATGATAGTATCTATGTATTAATTTAAAATAGATAATACTTATTTAATTCTTAATAAATAGTAACTATAGTATCATTATTATTTATTAATAATGATTTAGGAGGTGTAGTAATATATTTAACTAAAAATAATTTATTGTGATTATTATAAAAAATTTAAATAAATAAATTATACATAATTTAATATTTATTTATTTATTACTAATACTAATTTATTTATTTGTAGCCAACATATTAATATTAATAATAATAATTTATTTATTCATTATTATTACTATTATTATCAATATTATTATTATTATTATTTTTACTTTATAAATTGTTACTTTGATTATTATTATTATTATTTTATTTTATTTTTATTTGGTTATTACAGTGATCATGGAAACTTGAATCTCATTACCTTTTAATATATCAAACTTGAATTCTTGTTTGAATTCCACTATCTTAATTATTAAATTTACGGGTAAACTAAATTTTAAACGAGCTATCCGTATCTTACACGTTGCATTATATATAATCTAATTAGTGTAAATAATATACTTTTGTTTTCTATTTTTAAATTAGACAGTTAATTCATTAAAATAACTTAACTGTAGTTATTTCTATTAATATAAACAACGGATTAATTTTACATGACTCCTGCGTGGTACTAAACTAATAATGATGTTTTGTCACTTAAGACAATAATAACACTAACGGAATTGATCTTTCAAAAATGAATTAATCTTATAATTTAAAAGGATAGTTTAAAATAAAAGTTAATAAAAAAGTAAATGACCAAAATTAAAGGATGAAATACATTTTTTTTCTATACTAGAATTATGTTAAAATTCTCTCAAATTCTCAAAATTCTAACTACGCAGTTAAGATGAAATTAAACAAATAATATAGCAAAAAATTATAATATCATAAAATTAGAGGATTAATTTCTCAATTAATTAATACTCACTTTGATTGATTGAATACAAAATTATGAAACAAAATTTTTAAATGAGACCTAACCAGTCAAAGAAAATATAAATATAATAAAATGAATGCATAAATCATAATATATTACTGAATAATTTACTAATTACATAAGAAAAAGTTACTGTGTTTTCTGATTATATGATGTATTACAAGCGTCATATAAAATATTGTATCCAAAAACTTTCATCATTACTTATTTTGCTTTTCAGTTTGATTGCAACAGTTTATTGGGCCACCAAACACGGGCTTCAAGCAACAAGAATCAGGCCCAATAATTTTATTAAATCCCCAAATCCGAAATCAAACGCAGATAGAAACTAGGGTTAGGGTTTAACTTCGATTTTTGTGATCTATTTCGATTCGATTGATTTTCTAGCATACGAAGTAGAAACCCGAACTCCGAATCCATGGCGACACCGACAACCAAGCGGAAGCCGGTGTTTGTGAAGGTTGACCAGCTGAAACCGGGAACCAGCGGTCACACGCTGACGGTGAAGGTGGTGAGTTCTAAACCGGTGAAGATGGTGAGCAACAGGGGCGGTCGATCGTCGGTGATAGCGGCTCGTCCTTCCCGCATCGCCGAGTGCAACGTCGGCGACGAAACCGGAACCATAGTCTTCACAGCTCGCAACGAACAGGGTACGATGATGTTCTCCATGTTTGTTTTTCGTATTGTATCATCTAACCGTTGTGTTCAGTTGCTTGTTAAGGTCGTTGACTTTGAGATAGTATTACTTTCAGTCCCTGCAATTCCAAACACTTTGGATTTGAAGATTTAAAGTTCCATTAACCCTTTTCTCTCTTCTGCATGTGAATAATCATACCCCTGTTGTAAAGCTTAAGGCTTTTTACTGCATGTGAAAAAACCTATATTACTGCAATGACAGTGTTATAGTTTAATATTTACACTGATAGTATAAATATTTTGGCATTGGAAATGGGTCAAATTAAAATTCATTGTTTTCAATTGGTTTTAGTGTCATTCAGAGATTTAAACTTGGAAACCTGGTTCATTCTCTCTGAGTTGATTGTGCATTATCTAATATCAATGTTATTAATGCATTCAAGTCTATTAACAGGAAGAAAGTTAACTTAATCTTGTTTTATGGCCTTTGCCAATGGTGGAATTAGTTTGTGCCTTAACTGATGCTTTCCGAGGTAAGCTGGACGTAATGTGTGGAGTATGCATTAGCCTCTGTTTGTAGAAACATTATAATTTTTGGAGTCTATGTGGTACTCTTATCGTGCTTTTTCTCCTAAACTAATGTATTCGTTAGCGTATCTTTTCCTTTCTTCGTTAAATGCTTCCATTTCTTGCTTGTTTGGGAAAACGATATCGGTTTCGGTCAATTGTTTTGTAGAGGTGATTAATTCATTTAGTTTTCTACAGTGGACCTCATGAAGCCTGGCTCAACTTTAATTCTGCGTAATGCAAAGATTGACATGTTCAAGGGATCTATGAGGCTAGCAGTTGATAGATGGGGGCGAATTGAGGTCACGGAACCAGCAAATTTTGAAGTTAAAGAGGATAACAATCTCTCATTAGTTGAATATGAATTAGTCAATGTTGAAGAATGATTTAAGCTTCTGGGAGTGAATCTTTTGAGTTACCAGAGGTTCGATTGTTTTTCTTTTTTTTACCATTGAACAATTGACTGCGGTGCAGTTTTCATATGGTACAGCGTACAGTCCTTCTGATTTAGACTTAAGACTGCTATGGTTAATGCAAAGAATTATATATGAGGTCAGTTTAGAATAGTGATAATGCCTGTGCTTAACATGCAAAAGTAATTACTGTTGTATATTTCCTCAATTTGGTAGTGTATATAGTCCTCCTTGTTCAACTCTTAGGGGCTTTTCATGCTAATGTATTTGGAGATTAAAAAAATGGTAGTCCTGGTGCCTGGATGGCAGTAAGAGCCATTGTTTTGGGATTAGGTCAATAGGTTCAAGGCCGTCCACCAACCCTACCAAGGTGTACTGAGGATCTAGTATTGTGCCTGCGCACAAAGTATCTTTGTTAGAACTGAATGGTCTAACTATGAATTGAATACTTATTTGGTTATGTTTAGATCCTAAAATCATTGATTAAAAAAAAAATTCTTACTAGATGGGTTATTTCGACTGTAGAATTGGTGAATCGGTTGTGCCTTGTGCACTTAAATCATAAGTTTTTGAGTATTTATTTTCTTTAAAAAAATGTTAGACAATGTCATTAAAAATAATGTCATGATTTGATTTTTTTTAAAATATAGTTCTTAATACTATAAATTTATAAATGTTATGTTTGATATTGAATTTGAATATGTAATTTATGATTTGATACAACATTAACTACAACTACACCTTTATTCCAAATTAATTGGAGTCGGTGGTAGATGAATTCAAATAAAATATACGAAAAGATTGAGAAAAAGATAAAAAATAAACAATAAACAATAAAAAAATTGAAATAAAAAAAAAATAGTAATATATATATATATATATATATATATATATATATATATATATATATATATATATACACATACATACATACGAGTAATAAAAGAAAGGAAAATGAAGAGGAAAAGAACTAAAAAGAGACTATCTGGGACATAAGAATAACAACGGGTCTAACTTTTCACATGTTTATAGCTCTTTTCCATTTTGTTTTAAGACACACCGTCTGTTAATTTATATCCTACTCCATTAAGTCTTGTTTTATTACCTTTCTCCAAGTAAGTTTCGGTCTATTTCTAACTTTTTTTGTGTTGAGCTCTTGGTAACAAATTTTTGTTCTTACGGGAGCATTCATGAAATAAAATGTATATTACTCTATTATTACGTATGTTAATTATTAAATATGTTATAATAATTAAAAATTATTTAATTACTGCTAGTTTGATCAGAGTTGAACTAATTAAAATATTTTTGCCAGTTCAATGAACAGTTCGAACTTAAAATTTAAGCCCTCTCCAATTCATTTTGTAGTCTGGTTTTAACAACATCGCCGTAAAATGCGTAAGCCAAGACTCGAATCCATAATCCCCAGGCTGACTAACGCAAGCAATAGGTGCATGACACTTTATTTAATCTAATGGCTGATGCAAGAATTCATTTAACTCAAAAGTTTAAATTTTTAGATGAAATTATATTAATGATTTTATATATTTTTAATATGTCTTTTCACATGATAGTTCATTGGGCTTTATTAGAGTGTATAGTAAAGCTTCAGCTTTACTTAGTTATTAGGTGTATCTTTATCTACTGTAGTATCAGTTCCATGTGATTACTTCCACATTGTGTTAAGTTTGTTATTCCAGCTGTCATGGTTGTTAGATCAGTTTGTTATTCCAGCTGTCATGGTTGTTAGATTAGTTAGTGAATTGTGACTCTATATATAGAGCACTCTCATGTACTCTGTAGTTAGTTTTTCACATAATCAACAAATGGCTTTTCTCTTTCCCTATTCTCTCTCTCTCTCGTTACAAATTCTGTTATGGTATCAGACCCTTCTTTCTGAAGGCCTGATCCATTTTTGCTTCCATCAATGTCTTCCGCAATACTTTCTTCACCAGTAAATCAAGATAACAATAGCGAGAATCGAAGCTCACGAAGCACAACAATGGAGAACAAAACTCCATCTCTTTTTCACTATCAAATCACTGTAAAGCTCAACGAAGACAACTATCTATTTTGGAATCAGATAGTTGAACCTATCCTAACGTCACACCAGCTTCACAAATTTCTGGTAAATCCAAAAATTCCTCTCAAATTCTTAACTGATGAAGATCGTGTGAGTGATGCTGTGAATCCAGAGTTTGAACAATGGCTCATGCAAGATCAGATGCTGCTAACGTGGTTGCTCTCCACTATTACTGAATATGTGGTAAATGAGATTCTTGGAGTTAAGCACTCATATGAGGCTTGGGATCAAATACATAAGATGTTCCATGGAAAGATGAAATCTAAGACTCGACAACTTAGATCAGAGCTTCGATTGATCAAGAAAGGTACAAAATCTATTTCTGAGTTCCTCTCACGAATCAAATTAATTTGTAATTCCTTGAAGGCGATTCGAACTCCAGTTTCTGAAGATGATCATATAGACTACATTCTCGAAGGTTTACCTTCAGAATATAACTCGTTTGTTCTCAATTTTCAAAGTCGTGAGAAAGCTTCTTTGCTTGCTGATCTAGCAGTGGATCTTATGGCTTTTGAACAACTTTTGCTAAAACAAAGTGAGAGTTTACTCACTGATCCTGTCTCTGTCAACTTAGCACAGATGCACAAAAGCACTGAACCAGATGAACTGTTCAATTCTGTTTCCTCAAATGATAAACAGAACTTGAATCAGTTACCTCCAGCGTCTGATTCTCATGTTCCTCCTCGCTCCAATGGTTCATATAGAGGACGTGGGAGATATGGAGGACGCTTCAACAGAGGCAGAGGACGTGGTGCTCGTACAAATGTCTACTGTCAACTTTGCTACAAGTTTGGTCATGATATTCACTCTTGTTGGTTTCGATTTGATGAAAGTTTCATTCCAACTTTGGCTCCTCCTGCTGGAAATTCTTCTCCTCACTTCTTTGAAGCTCAACAACAATTCTCCTATCAAAATCAACACCAACAACCACATGCTCATCACTATCAACCTCAACAAAATCAGTTTCCAAGGTCATATCAGTATGTTCGTCCAACAGGAGTATCATCTGCTCCTCAAGCAATGATCACAAGTCATCAACACTCTGGTTTACTTCCTACACCTAGCACTACACCAGCATTGGAATGGTATCCAGATTCAGGAGCTAGTCATCATGTTACAGCCAATCCTATGAATCTGTTACAGAGTCAACAATTGTCTGGTGCTGATCAAGTCTTTATTGGCAATGGTCAAGGTTTGCCCATTAGTTCTGTTGGTTTCTCAAATTTTAAATCACCAACTGATCCTAAAATCGAATTGTCTCTTAAGAATCTTCTTCATGTTCCCTTAATTATGAAGAACCTTATGAGTGTTAGTGCTTTTGCTCGTGACAACAATGTCTTTTTTTAATTTCACCCTACTAAATGCTTTGTCAAATCGCAGGAGTCACATAAAGTCCTATTAGAAGGCACACTTGGTCAGGATGGGCTCTACTGCTTCACAAACATTGTCTTTCCTTCCACCTTACCTCAGTCTTCTCCTCCAATTTCTGGTTGTAATGTTGTTCAAGCCTCAAATACAGTGACTGTTTCCGATTGTAATACTGTAAATTCCAATTCATGTACTCAAGCTTATGTCGTTTCTGATTCTGCCTATTCATTGTGGCATTGTCGTTTAGGACATCCACATGATGTAGCTCTTAAAAGTGTACTCAAAACTTGTAAGATACATTTCAATAATAAATCTGAACTTGATTTTTGTTTAGCATGTTGTAAAGGCAAGGCTCACAGACTTCCCTCATTCCCATCCACCACTGTGTATCACTCCCCTTTTGCATTAATTTACAGTGATCTATGGGGTCCTGCACCTTTTAAGTCTACCTCAGGAAACTCTTATTACATTTCCTTTGTTGATGCTCACACTAGATTCACATGGTTGTATCCCATTAAACAAAAATCTGATGCACTTGCTGTCTTCAAGCAATTTCATAGCATGATTGGCACTCAGTTTCAAACAACCATAAAATCTATTCAAACTGATTGGGGTGAGGAATTTCGATCATTTACCCAATTTTTAAGTCTTCATGGCATTCTTCATAGGATTGCTTGCCCTCACACTCACCATCAAAATGGTGTTGTTGAGAGAAAACATAGGCACATAGTTGAGACTGGACTCACTCTTCTGTCACATGCTTCTATACCAATGAAGTTTTGGGATCTAGCCTTTAATGCAGCTGTCTTCCTCATCAACCGAATGCCAACAACTTCCTTAAATTTTGAGGTCCCTTATACCAAACTATATAAACTCAGTCCTGATTACACTATTCTCAAGGTTTTTGGTTGCTCTTGTTTTCCTTTCCTTCGTCCTTATAACAAACACAAATTAGAATACAGATCTCAAGAGTGTGTCTTTCTTGGATACTCCTCTAGTCACAAAGGTTATTTTTGCCTCAATAAAGATGGCAGAATTTTTATATCCAAGGATTTCATATTCAATGAATTTATGTTTCCTTTTGCAACTTCCTGGACCTCCACTCTGAATCCTCCTTCAATTTCTCCTCCTCAATCTCCTTCTGTTCCTCTTGTTGTTCATCATCAGCAGACTTCTAGTAGTCTTGTTCCTCATCTCCCTTCTGACAACTCCTTGGCTAGCAGTAGTGCCTATCATTCCCCTCTTGTGCAATCTAGTCCTGTCTCTCATGCCACAAATACACCACCAACCAACCTTGTCCAGTTATCTGATACTCAGTCCCTTTCCTCTACATTTCACAGTAGTTCTTCTTCTTCATCTCCTCCTACTTCTGTTTCTGAGTATATGCCTTCTTCTTCTGTGAACCTGTCATCTCCTCATTCAATTCAAACCCGGTCTAAAACCTTGGCTAGATCATTGGCTCTTCTTACTCATGTTGAACCATTTTCTGTTAAACAGGCTATGGCTAGTCCACCTTGGCTTAAGGCTATGCAATGTGAATATGATGCTTTGTTATCTAACCATACTTGGACTCTTGTTGATTGTCCTCCTAATAGGAAGGCTATTGGTTGCAAATGGGTTTTTCGAGTTAAAGAAAATCTGGATGGTTCCATAAATAAATACAAAGCAAGGTTGGTTGCCAAGGGTTTTCAGCAACAAGCTGGTTTTGATTTTAATGAGACATTCAGTTCAGTGGTAAGACCCATTACAGTTCGGATTATGCTCACTTTGGCCTTGACAAATAACTGGATCATTAGGCAATTGGATATCAATAATGCCTTTCTTAATGGTGACTTGAAAGAAGAGGTCTTCATGGTCCAACCTCCTGGATTTGAGCATGCTAACAGAAGCTTGGTTTGTAAGTTGCACAAGGCACTATATGGACTCAAGCAAGCCCCTAGAGCCTGGTTTGACAAGCTCAAGACTGCTTTGCTTCTATTTGGATTTAAATCCAGTTGCTGTGATCCTTCCTTGTTCATTCTCAAGCTTGCTGCTGCTTCTGTTTACATTCTTGTCTATGTTGATGATATCATAATTACTGGTTCAGATTCTCTTCTCATCCAACGCATCATCTCTAATCTCAACTCTCAGTTTGCCTTGAAGGATTTGGGTCCCTTGGATTATTTTCTGGGTGTTGAAGTGAAACGACATGCCTCTGGTGGTTTGAGCTTATGTCAAGCTAAGTACATTCGCGACTTGTTAACTAGAGCAGCTATGCATGAAGCCAAACTCATCTCCTCTCCTATGACAACTAGCTGCAAGCTAACTAAACATGGCACATCCTATTTTCCTGATCCTTTTCATTATCGATCCATTGTTGGTGCTTTGCAATATGCAACCATCACTAGACCTGAAATCAGTTATGCAGTTAACAAGGTGTGCCAATTCATGGCTCAACCTCTTCATGAACATTGGTTGGCAGTTAAACGAATTCTTCGATATCTCAAGGGTTCCATTTCTTTTGGTCTCTTTCTCAGACTAGCAGCTCCTTCCAGCCCTCTCACCATCACTGCCATTTGTGATGCAGATTGGGCAGGGGATCCTGATGACAGAAAATCTACTTCTGGTGCTTGTGTTTACTTTGGTCCTAATCTGGTTTCATGGTGGTCTAAGAAGCAGACCTTGGTTGCTCGATCAAGCACTGATGATGAGTATAGAAGTCTGGCTGCTACATGTTCTGAAATCTTATGGATTCAATCTCTACTTCATGAACTTCGGGTTCCCATTTCCACTCCTCGAATTTATTGTGACAATTTGAGTACAGTTGCTCTCTCTCACAATCCAGTGCTGCATGCTCGCACCAAACACATGGAATTAGACATTTTCTTTGTTCGAGAACGTGTGATTCGCAAGGAGCTTATTGTATCACACATCCCAGCCTCTGATCAACTTGCTGACACTCTTACCAAACCTTTGTCTCCTGATCGATTTGCTGCCTTGCGCACCAAACTCAGAGTTTTGGATCTCCAACACTGCTGAGTTTTGCGGGAGGGTATTAGAGTGTATAGTAAAGCTTCAGCTTTACTTAGTTATTAGGTGTATCTTTATCTACTGTAGTATCAGTTCCATGTGATTACTCCCACATTGTGTTAAGTTTGTTATTCCAGCTGTCATGGTTGTTAGATCAGTTTGTTATTCCAGCTGTCATGGTTGTTAGATTAGTTAGTGAATTATGACTCTATATATAGAGCACTCTCATGTACTGTGTAGTTAGTTTTTCACATAATCAACAAATGGCTTTTCTCTTTCCCTATTCTCTCTCTCTCGTTACAAATTCTGTTAGGCTTGAACGGTAAATGATACATAAGATCTAGTTTACCTGCGTTAAGAAAGTGAACAATAATTAATGATTTTTATTAAGAGAATGGGCTGGTAAGACACTTAATCATAGAGGTTCTGACATCATGTAAAGAATCAATTTAACCCGAAAGACATTTAACCCAAATGCTTAAGTTGTTGGAAGAAGTTATATTAATGATTTTATATTTTTTTTACACGTCCCTTCACATGAGAGTCCAGTGGACTTAAAAGATAGATGATACATCAAGGTCAACTTACCAGTGCTAAGAAATTTCATAATATTTATTTATTTATTAACTAGATGAGGGCGGTGAAAATCAAATTCGTGACCATTTGGTCATGAAAGCTCTGATACCATGTAAAGAATCAATTAATCCAAAAGCTTAAGACATTGAATAAAGCTATATTAATTGTTTTATATATTTTTAACACGTCTCCTCACACGAGGACCCATTGGACTTGAAGAATAGATAATGCATAAGGCTCAATTTATTTGTGCTAAGAAAATCCATAATAATTAATTATTTTTATTAAGAAAATGAGAAAGATAAGGATTAAACTCGTAACCACTTAGTTAAAAAAAATCAATTCAATCAAAAAAAACTTAAGCTATTATGTAAAGCTACGTTAATGGTTTTACCTTTTTTCTAACACAACTGAAATGAGGTTAATGACACTAGTTAGTTGTAACATTCTTGATTTTATTCTACATGGTGCTTTATAAAAGCGCGGTTGTTTCAATAGTGAATCTCACTTTCATAGGTACTCTTATTTAGCTAGTCTAACAATCATACGTCATATTCAAACGAGAAGCAAAACTCTACAAAGGTTATGACCTATATACTATGCTACTCGCCTAAATAGACAAGAAAAAGAAATCATTATTTGTTCATTCCACTGAATCGTGTAGATAAGATCCAAAGCTGAATTCTTTCTTCGTAAGGAAAGAGAGGATTAAGAAAGATATGAGTCTTGAACATTTTTCTGTGACAAGATATTGGAATCCTCTGGCTGATTTCCAAAGCTACTTGTAGTGAAAAAGATAGAATCCAAGCTTGGTTGGAAAGGTAATGACTAGAAGAAGCATGTGACTTTCTTTGGGATGGATTAAATATTAATATGATTAGCTGGAAAAGAAAAATGTACAGGATAGACACTTGAAGTTTGAGGAACCAAAGGGGTTTCAAAAGGATGGGTGACAACTTAATATAACAAATTAATAGATCGCTCGTAAAAATAAATTAAGAAGACAGTCGCACAGATTTTTCACAGTAAATTGAAACGAAATGGATACTGTTCTCATTTTGGAATTTTAGGAAAACATAATTCTCCGAGCCATATAGGAGGTCACAGACCAAAATATGCATAATGGAACCAATACTTGTAAAGACGGGGAATGAAGAGTTCAAATATCCAAAGCTCATATTCTAAGAAGTGAACTACAAAAAACAATCCAACTTTTATACCCACGAAGTAAATTGAGCATAATCTGTACCGCATTCTGTAGTTATGACATCATGACCCCTCTTCTTCTGAAAGTTAAAAAAATAAAGTAAATGAGAAAACGAAAACATCACTGACCGCCTTACGTACAGAAAGATAACAATCGAAAGACAAATAAGTTATCATGTTAATAAAAAGAGCCCTTTTAAGACAAAAATTTTAGTTTAAAAATATCAGAGAAACTATCTGCACAAAGGGGGGAAGCGTAAATTTAGACCAGCTATAAAGGGATGGATGCTTAATACGCACTACTCGATCGGAATAAAAAACTTTCGCTACATACTCCAATTCTGAATTCATTAAACTTCCCTAGCTGATTCAAAATGAAATTTCTAAATAACACGGACAAACAAGATAAAACTTCATCGAACGGCCCAATACAATTTCGGCGTAATTTGCCTTTAGACACTAAAATCCAAGCGTATAAAATAGCAGCCTTTATGCATCTGAAATAGGAAGAACAGAAGTACAGGTGGTCTAAGTTTTTAAAGTTCCTTTCGGCCTTTGGGACTCAATTTGTCCCTCCAATCAAGACACTGTCTCAGGAAGCAGATTGGTACATAAAAGATTGCTTCAATCTTCAGAACACATATCACACATCATCATTGCAATCTGATTAAACAAAAGAGATCAGTATACACCTAAATTATCAATTGACCCTACAATATATGGTGCAAAAAAAAAAAAATACCCGCATCAATTATGATTTTACTGATAGAATTTTACATAACACAGATGTGTATAAAATATAATGTTTCAGATAATTAAACATAGAAGATAAAGGCAATAAACTGAATTCTAGACAAACTCTTACAAGAATGGTTGAGATATTTCTCAATCTTTTTATCCCATAGAGATTCAACATAATTTTATATAAACTCAGAACCCACAAGAAAAGTGTCGTTTTTTTATTCCTGAAAATTGTTCTCAAGATGCATAAACAATGAAAAATGAGATTCATAAATAAGAGACAGATAATTATTTTATAAAACACAAAGTAAACTAAGAAAAATCCAGCTTAATGAGATTTACCACGCCAACTACATAATAGAATCCAAGAGCAGACAAATTTGCTCTAAATCATGCTAAATAATTGGCCATAGATATATAGCAATTCTTCCTAATAAAAATAATTTTTTTTGTTTAAAGCCCAACATCATAAGAGGTCCATGTCATCCCAATCCAACCTTGCTTCTCGATCTTCAAATAGTCTTCTCTTGGCCTACAAACAAAAGGAGTATGTATGGCTTCACTAAAAGATTTAGTTGCACGAGTGGCGAAAGCAGAAGATTCAGGGAATAACTTAATCCATCAATCTTAGGTACATGATTAATAGTTATACTTATATATAGATACGGTCAAGCATCAGGTAGATGAACCACCTTTTTCCTATGAATACGGAGATTTATATCACATATATATTTCGAATGCATCACGTATTAAATCTCACAGGCCTATATTAAGTTTAACCCAAGCATTGAAAAGAAACACTAACTTACCCGAAAGAACACAAGGAATCCTACAGATGTTTAGCTACCTAATTCAAAAGTGAAATCCAATTGTCAGGCAATTAAAATGATCCAGAGTGGGGGTCACATAACATAATACTCTTTCGTAGTCCTAATCTTTTTTCTCAACACAAGCTGTAAGATATATTCTAAATCCCCTTCTCTTCTTACCACTCTCAGTAAAACCAAGTCCCAACCAGCAAACAGGGGAAAACAATATTACTTTTTGAAAAATAAGATTAGGTTTCAATTTATATAACCAAACCAAACTAAAGCTAAAAATGCAGAGAAATCTTTCAAAAATAATGCCACCTAACCCAAACCATTCAAAATGCAAATATACAAATTTAATCTTTTAATAACTAATGATACCTTCAGGAAGCCAACCGTAGCTGCGACGAGAAACGGAGAGCATTGAAGTCATCAACGCAGAAGCAGTTGCCGTATGATACGGCATCATTGATTCCACACAGAAGCTCAATTCAACAGGACACCTTCTCACACAAACAATTCAATCGAAGAAACACTGAATTCAGCATTGACAAACAAACAAACAAACAAAAAAAACCTACAAGTGATTCAAGAAAACAAAATGCTTAAAACGAAGTAGCATTTTCTTTTTATTTCAGAAAAGTTTCGTGATTTACCTGAGCGTGGATTGGGAGAGTGGCTTGTTGGATCCGAGGCGGAACGTAGAACGAGTCGGTTTAGCTTCCGAGCAGAGACGGAACGCGGCGCGGCCAACGGAGGATGATCGGAATATCGACCTCGCGGCGGCGCCGGCGGCGGATGCCATTTCGTTATCGGAAATTTTTAGGGTTTGCGTAGGTTCTACACTCGCCACTGGTTTAGGGTTCTACATCACTAAAACCCTTCGTCAGTTTTCGGCTTATGGGCCAGAAAGTAATATAATGGGCTTTGAAGAATTTGGGCTTTGTCATGTCTTTTTGTTTGGGCCGGACCTAAAACCTCGGGTCGAACCGATCCGCGTGAGTGTTCGTCTTGTTGGGTTTCTTACAGTGCCCTAACAATAACAGAGTCTCTGAAATCGGAGCCAGTTCTTCGTTTTCATGAATTTCTCACTCACAACAGTGTCGAAGCTGAGTTGCAGATTCACACATGGCGTCGTTATTCAAGGTACTCTACACTGAGCATTACGTAATCTAATTCAAGAAGTATGTTTTTTATTTCATTTGCTGATTTTTATTTTTATTTTTATTTTTTTGGTGTTGTAGGATCCATCGAAGCTTTCAGCGTATAGAGATAGAAGATTCCCTGGAACGCAAGAGGATTTTGAGCAGGCGCTTCTGAATTCAACAACTGTTTACATAGGGAACATGTCGTTTTACACAACGGAGGAGCAAGTTTACGAACTGTTTTCCCGAGCTGGAGAAATCAAGAAGATCATCATGGGCTTGGATAAGAACACTAAAACGCCATGCGGCTTTTGTTTCGTTTTGTAAGATGAAATTGCAATTAAATCATTGAAATGTATTCTATAGGATAAAATGCTTTTCTTCGCAAACCTAATTATATTGTTATTATTATCATTATTATTATTATTATTTCTATTTATCAGTATGCATGTATAATCTAGTGGTTGATTTCTAGGAACCGTTTATTGTATCGAGTAGTATAATTGTAGGTACCTGAATTAAATTTTGCATCCAGTTGCTTGAATAGTGATGAGTATGCACTGTTAACTGCAGTGATTCATATTAGTGATTGTGAGAATTATTGAGTATTGAATGGTGATTCTATGTATGTATTTCTTGCTAGATATTACTCACGGGAAGATACTGAGGATGCTTGCAAATACATAAGTGGGACGATACTTGATGATCGCCCTATTCGTGTTGATTTTGATTGGGGATTCCAGGATGGCAGACAATGGGGTCGCGGTCGTAGTGGTGGTCAGGTGAACAAACAACTCTTGTGCCTATGTTTTTACTATGGCTATGGCTATTTTTGTTCTTGGATATAATACTGACTTCTTCTGTTAATTCATTCAGGTGCGTGACGAATATCGCACGGATTATGATCCTGATATCCTTTTAACTGTTTAACATTAATTTTTTTGCGATTTGTGTCCTTGTCCTTGTATGAATTATAGGCTTGATTTTCTACTCTACATAACAATGAAAATAATATTATTGCGGTAGAGTAAGCTGCATAAATGTGGCAATTCTTAAAAGTTAAGAATAATATAACTAATATGGTTCATTAATGATTAATCCGTGCAATATACATATATAATCTAGTTTTGCATCGGCGAGCAATTATAATTTTCTTTAATTATGCTCCCGGGACTATGCTTTTGATTAGGCATATCCCCACATATTCGAAATAAGTAAACTATTACTTCTGCTGCAATTTTAATATATTTTAATTAATATTGAGTTATAAATACTCATACCTTCAGTGATGCACTTGTTTTTATATGCCTTCTTTTATCTTGTTTATTGACTTGATCTGCGACAAGTTATTATACTAGTCTCCTTTTAGTTTCCTTAATTCCACACACGTAGAGGTGGTTATGGGAAGCTGGTTCAGAAAGAGTTAGAAGTACAAAGGCAGCTTGTAGATTATGGTGCTGGGTCTTTGGGCTCTTTTCCGCCAGTTATTCCAACTTCCTGTAAGAGACTCCAAACTGTATTCTGCGCAGATCTTTAACTGCTAGGAGTAACTCTGGCTCAACATTTCCCTTGTTTTGAATTCACTGAAAATTCCATTCATGTATTCTTTTTATTATTATTTTTTGGTTTTCAGATGTCAAATTTATGCGGTGACTTATCCTCCTGCTTGATTTTTAAGATATGATAAGAAATACTGACAGGAAAGGGCATCTAATTATGGACTTAGGTCACTAACTCATTAAGAAGTAACACTGACTGCTTGACACCTATGTTGACATTGCCAGTTGGGCCTAAAATTGTAGCTATCTGTGTAAATATGCAACACTTGAGGTAGCCCCCTACTAGGTGTATTTATTTGATTAGCCTGTCAACTCCTGCATCCTATATATTGTGCAGTCTGAAAAAATGGCACAAAGGGATGCCTTAAATAGCTAATTTCGCCTACATTGTATTTGTCTTCCTAATGATTGAAGTTCACAATTATCTAAGTTAAATTGTTGGTCTGATAAATTTAGTTTTGTAAATAAGTTTTAGTATAATGCAAACGTCAATGTGGATAACTAAGTTGGATCTGGAAATAACTGTCCCTCTTAAGGAAGCAACATATTCCAATGATTTTGAAAGTTTCAGTGCTTATTTATCTTAATATTCTGAATCTTATGGTAGTGGTCTTTTGCATTTTGCTGTTCAAAATGCGATTGAATATTTGTTTTAGTTTATTAGACACTTTATATGCTTTAAATCTTAGAATTGTATTCCAGGCCAGAGTACGTACATGTGTTAGTCTCATAGTGAACTAGTGATACGAACCTTGGGAGAGCCTCATCCCAAAAGCTAGCCCATGAGGTAGGAGAACCCAAAGTCCATATGAATCCCACATTAGTCACCCATATAATCAATGTGGGACTCAAGTCCCATACCTTGCAATTAGGTCGTAACAACCAGCCTCCCATTGTTTTGTTGGTTGCCTTTTTTTGGTTATTTAACTTTTTTTTACATTCTCAAATTCGTGATAATACTTTATCATTTGCCGTGAGTTTGTATTCCTTGCTAATTAAACTGATAGCAATTTTACTCTTCCAGATGGTAGACATGGTGGAAGCCATGGTCATGGTGGTTCCCATCGGCATGGTAGAGGTAGTTTCATCTCTAGACAATGCCTTTTGTCCCGCAATTTTAATTTTTCAGAAACACTTAGAGGAATTTACCATTGATATAAATTTAATTTGTCTATTTGACATGATAGATTACTATAGGAAAAGACACAGAGATGATGACCGCCACACACACGAGTCCTCAAAAAGAACATCAGATCATGAAACTCGAAGAAACTCTGACCATGAATCTAGACCGGTAAACTCTACAAATCTTAATGATGTTTCAGGCTAATTGATCAATTATTTTATAGCAATTCCAATTGCCGTACCTATTGTGCCACATAGGCAATGGGACTTATTTCTTCAATTGAAGGCATGATGCTTGTATTTGTTTTCCTCATACTTATGTCTGCAGTTACCATTATTGCTAGTATCAGTCGGTATGCTAGTTTCAAAAGTATCGTGTTTCCTCGTAGTTTTTGCCATTTGATTTGACTGGATTAATTACTTGATCCGATGTGCCAGGAAAAAAATCCACGGTTTCGTGAGAGCGGGGATTCTGATGATGAGGAGGAAGATGATAGAAAAAGACGGGCTTAAGCAGAATTTCATAATTGATCAAGTTGTTTTTTGCATTGAAAATTCTGTGCTCACATGATTAAAAGTGTAAGATAGTGTTGTATATCATTGCAAATTGCAAATATCTTACTGTTAGGTTAACCTTGTTTGAAATTCTAGGCTGGATCAGCTGCATATGGCTGTGCTATGTTTGAAATTCTGTCTTGTGCTTCTGTTTTTGGCCATGATCAGATTCTAGTTATCTTACTCGCATCTTATGCGCAATGGTTCGGCTTATTGGGTAAAATATGTGGTCTTGAGCCTTTTTGCTTCAATCTGTCAGCATGTACGTGTGCATGAACAATTATTTTCTTGCATAATTTGCAAGCCATCACAACGTTGAAATCATTTTACATGCACACTTATTCAAAGTTCAGATTGTCGAGATAAATTATTGGCTTTAACATAACCACCACCAGCCCCCTATCCCCACCAAAAAGAAAAGAAATTAGGAGGAGGAAAAAAAAATCTGTTAGAAGAAACATCCGAAAATTTCGTGTAAGCCAGACAAGACATACAACCAGAAGTGAAATGTACCTTCCTTTTGTCTTCAACGAGTGCGGCAAAGGTAACCCACGTCGTTCTAATGTAGTCAAATATCTGATTCTCATTAGAGGAGACTTAACATGTAAGAAGGGAAGTTGTTGCTGGCTAAGCGAGACAATGAAAAAGCAATTATTTGTGTGCATGGTAGGAAATAGGAGTGAACACAGCGTTCATGAGTAGACTACATACATGGTAAGTGACACTTCTTCAATGGTTAGTAAGAGCCCCAAACTAAAGAATATGTATCAATTGTGTAACTCCTAAATTTATTGTGGAAGGAGATAGAAATTATTAATTAAAACGATTTCAGGTCACTTTTAATTAATGGTATTCTCAAGAGTTCAGATGTGTTTTATTTTGTGATAGTCACAAAATTGAATTAAAAAATATCAATTTGTTCTGCAAAGGCTTTAAAGGAAAAGGAAAAACAATACTCAATTAAAAAATAAACCAAAATTTCTTACATTGGGACTGAACTGAACCAAGAAGTAACATCACAAAACTATAACCTATTGATTACACGAATCTGGCAGGAGGCCACACTTCACATGCATGCAATTCAGCTAACGAAGCATAGAAGTGTTGCCATGGTACATCCATTTGCCTAAGAAATGAGCAAAAGACGAAGGCAAATCCAGAAGTAAAACGTCCCACCACAGGCATGTTGACATCACTACAAAAACTCTTGCCAGCTCATAAATATTTGTTGGATTTTTTAGCACCTGCCGGTTCATAAAAACCTTACTCAACTTCTTTGATAATTCTTCTTGTCCTTAATGGCTGTGTTTTAATACTCCCTGGGGCACTGTGAGCTTTCCTCTTCTCATCCTTTCTTCTCCTAGCATCCGCCATAACGCGCATCAAAGCAGTAGCTTTGAATATTGGTCTTGGCAAATGCCTATGCCTGTTGAGCAAAACCCAAAAAACAAATAATAAGCACAACATCGCAAGTTTTGTTTTGCTAAACATATAATTTATGACATAAATGTTTTCCACGTGTGGTTCCCAAGAATAATGGCTTCACCAAATCTTACCTTGCAATACGATTAACTTCAGGGAGGTGCTTGTAGCGTTTCTTTACGGCCTCGTGATACTCGTGCTTCTTCCGCTCCCTTGGGAGAATCTATAGCATGATCACAATGAAGTAATCCTCAGGGAATAAAGGGTCTTACTGACTAAAAATAATTAGGATAACCAAAGGCAACAAATTGGAAAATTACCAATTATGACAATTTAACATTCTTAATCCAGTATGATCAACAAATAAAAAAAGACAATTTAAATTAAAAATTGGTTTAAAAAAAGGATGCATCAACAATGGCAATCAATTAAACTTAAATAATAAGTATTTGGATCCTCTCATTTCAGCTTGTCATTTTGATCCTTGAGCAGGAATGTGGTACCTTGAGCAGAAAATGTAGAGCCCTCTTAACTAGATGGTTTCCATCTCTCTACTAAAGTGACAACCATTTACGAGCTAAAATGAGTAGATCCAAATAAAAATGAAAAAATACAGACATAATTGAGATTCATCTGTCAATGAGATAAAATATTGCCCACATTAAGCTGTGGGTGAGGCTTGACTCAAATCTAAGCAATGCAAGAGGAGATGAGGAAGATATCTTACTACTCCAAGTTGCTCTGATGCTTTGGCCTTCCAAAGTCTGAGGTTAGTGTCATCACTTCCTGAAATCACATAACTTCCATCCCCGCTAAACTTGACACAGAATACCCTGCATAACAGAGATAAAGATCAGCATACCATAAAGCATCATAGAAATCTTTCAGTGGACTCTCTGCATTACACATCCGGGATTTAAATTGTTTAAAAAGTCATGCAAGTAATCAAACAACAGAATGCTCAGTGCACGAAATATAAATTGAGTGAACCTTTGCATTCTCTTGGTATGATAAATCTCCTTGCTGTGACCACCATTATACTGAAAAATTCTCACCTAAAAACGAGGTATCATTAATAGATATGATTCTAATTCAGTAATAATTAGAGTTAAAAGATTAAAGCCAAATTCAAGTGAACTAACTGATCTATCATAAGATCCAGTGACAAATTCTCGACCAGTTGGTGAGTAGTCAATATCCATCCTGTAGAATGAAATATGAAAATGTAAGTATAAAAAATTCTAGAATTACCAAAAACAGTAAATATTTAAGGAAAATTCATCTTACACTGCAGAAACATGATCTTTGTGAACGCATTTGGCTTCATCCAACTTCCTAGCATCATAACTATAGCAGTTACCATCTTCATTTGCCTGCATGGCAATGAAATATGTAAATAAGAATACAAATATAAAAATATTGATTCCAAGATACAACTACAAAAAGACATCTCAACAATATCTCACATGTTAGCCATAGCCAAAACCCTAAACAATAATACTTTCAGAACAACTAGTTACATCTGAAAAACTTACAGTTGTGAAGTTTATGGGTTCCATTGGATTCCAACATATAGAATTGGTTTTGGTCTGTCACAATGGAGTAAAAGTCAGTGTCATGAATATATTTGGAATGAGACCAAAAGATAGGGAAAAATATTCTTGACTGAATTGTAGTAATGTAGTTGACAAATGTGCCATTGACATAACAGTGTGTGCAATTAAAAGTAAAGAAAATAGTAGGGACCTCAGCTAATAGTCTGAAAATAAAATTGATAACTAGAAATATCAAAATCAAAATCTGCAGCCATATATTGAAATTTATATTAATGATAAGAAATAATTACCATCATTATCATTTTCCTCACAGGGGAAGTCATACGTAAATCATACAGAATTATGCTCCGGTCACTAAAATAAGAAGACAGGTTAAACAAACAGTTAACTTGCAAATGAGAGAGAAATGTACAACAAGCCAACCAATATTCTTCCTAATTTGCTAAGTGCGCATGATTTAAACATATAAATGAGCACAACTTCAAGAAAACGCATACCAAAAGAAACATAAACTAGTTCCCTTATTATATATTCATTTCAATAAATGAGATGACTTGCATTTCTCTCCAGATTCAGCTGAACAAAAACCAAGAACCACTAGATTGAGAGCAATATCTATCTACCACCCAATAACAAAAAAATAAGTAATAAAGCATTTTCTCACACCCAGGCACCTATTTAAATTACAATTTCAATCTAGTTGATTTGGAAACGAAACATTCAAATGTGGTACTATAATAATCAGGAATATCAACTCAATGAAACACTAAGACTAATCAAAAATGAAAAAAAACCACATGCAATGAGATCAGCAAGCACTAAACAAGCAACAAAGAAAAAGAAAAAAAGAAAAAAAAGATCAGGATATTTAAGGGGAAAACTGAATTTGTATCATTGATATCAACAACGCAGTGTTTGACTTACAAGCAATATAACATACCTTGCTGAGGTTGCCAAGAGATTTGGCTCACCAGGATTAAACCGAACAGAAATTACTGTGTCAGTTCCCCATTCAAAACTGTTTATTGGCTGAGACCTGCAGAAGGGAAGTAACACCAACATGAAATAAACACCCAATTTGAAAAAGCAGTCTAGGATTCTAGTAAAATAAGCAAACTAATCAGAGATTGATATCAAAACCTGTTTTGATTCCATATATCCACTTGAGCACCAGCAGTGGCAAAAAGTTCACCATCCCACTGGTGATCAACAGCCCTGTAAATTAAAGAAAGTAAGCCAATGTTATGTAACATAAAAATATAGTAACATAACAATTTTCAAAATCTTCCTGGATAATTCACTCCAAAACTTACCAAAATGCATTCCTCGAAACATAAACACTTGCTGGCTGAAAAAAAATAAAAATAAAAATAAAAAAAGGTTTATAAAATTGTGAGTTAGAATACCAGCAGAAAAATTAAAAAGAAAAAAAGAAAAATCATTAGCACAATCATCCACCTCGACAGTTTTTGTAGTTGAGCCACCTGACTCCATAAGAGAACTATCAGGAACATTCCAAAGTCTGATACTGAACACAAAAATACCAGTTTACATCAGAAGAATTAGTTATTGAAGGATAAACATGAGAACTTGATATAATAGAACAAAAATTGGAAAATATTGATCCTTACGTGCAATCAGTTCCACATGACACAAGAATGCGTCCATCTGTAGATACTGTCAGGCCTCGCACAGCACCTTGGTGACCAGGAAACTGACAAACTGTCCGTCTTTTAAAAAAAATAGAATGAGCAACAATGCTAGGTACATATAGTACAGTCCAAAAATTGTAATCATGAACAACCTCCCATCCTTGCCAATTGTTTAATTAAATAAGTTGATGCATACCATTCACCTATATTTTTCTTTTCCAAATACACAATTTCCATGGATTATTATTATATAGTAACTAAAAGATACTTTTATGACCACTCTTCAGAAAGCTAATATATCCTTAACCCACAAAATAATAAGAAAATATCAGGTCATATTTGACACAGCAAACTAAGATTCAATCATAACTAAGAAGAGAAAAATATTTGACTTATAATCTATGATAGTCCACAAATGCAAACAAAAAAGGAAAGAAATTAGAGGCTGCTCCAGTAACCCATTGTTCAATAATGCAAACACATGTATGTTTACAAAACATATAAATGTTCTTCATTTCAAAGAGAATATTAAACATCATGTGCTTCTGCTTGATTCCAAGTTCCTGATAGAAAAAGAAAAATTAAAAAAAACAAAATTTATTACCTGGAAGCTAAGTCCCAGAGACGAATATCTGTAAACACAACAAAGAAATGTTAAATTTTTCAATATAAAAGAAATTCAGGTCATCCGGCATAGTATGAAGATAATTGTGTATAAAGGATTGAGCATATTGTGAGGAAAATGAACGATAGAAGTGGTGTACAGGTGAGAAAACAACAAAGAGTGAAAGAAAATAAGAAAAAAGTGAAAAGGAGAAACAGAGAATCTGTATTCAGAACTATATTATTATGAAAATCTATTTAAACTGATCTAGGTCTATTAAATTTACAGTAACTGCACATAACTGAATCTGAATCGGCATTATAACAGAATCTGACTAAGCTAACAAACCGTGCTTAACTGTAATGATTCTTACAGCTATAACAACTAACAGAAACAATAAAAGATACAAAGCACGTGCATCTAAGAGTGAATACTCTAACATTCCCCCATGAAACTTAGGGTGTGGTTTTCAAAGAAAATTGATCAAACACCCGAAGTTTGTCTCTTAATTCACAGAATCAAGGATAATGCCTTGGCGAGGAAATCTGCCCACTGATCCTGAGGGGGAATGTAAAGATTCTTGGCTAGGACGTTTCCCTAACAAAAAAAAAGGTTCAGCTCCATGTGTTTGGTCAGTAAGTGAAGCAATGGATTCTAAGAGAGTGCAACAGTGCTAAGGTTGCCAAATAGATGACAGTTGTGAGTGTAGGAACTTGCAACTCCTTGAGCAAGGACTGATCAGCACTAGTTCAGCAGTGGTGTTTGCCAAACTTCGGTATGGTACCTTTATTCCATTACACTCGCCATTAGATATCCAAACATAGCATAAAGCTCATTATCCAATTCACCCATATTTTGGAAACCCAAAACATGGCAAAACAAATTTCCACCTCTTCTCTTCCAACCCTTCCCATCCCCAAGCCAAGAGCACAATACTATAATTAAGTCGGTACTTCCTACATTTATACATAAAATTTCAAGAGCATGACAAAATAAGGAAAATTGAAATACCCCCATCCATTGAACCGGAGAATATCCCTTTCAACTGACTAGGGTTCTTCGCCATACACGATACAGCATCTATATGCCCATCCATTGCTCCTATAAACGGTCTTGCAAAAATCTAAATTCTCAAAAAAAAAAAAAAAAAAAAAAAATCAGTAACAAATAAAGTACACATCGAATAAAAGCATATTCAGAATTCACCATCGAAAAAAAAACGGGGGAAGAGAAAAATCCGACCTTGTCCAACTTCACAGCATTAAGAGCGCGTACATACTCCACCGCTTTCTCTTGAGGACGAAGGCCAGGGTCGTAATTACGGAATACCCTCTTTTCCAAATTGAAAGTACAACGTTAGAAAATTTTCATTTGAGTTCACAAGAATGAAGAAAGTCAATGATAAAGAGTCGTGTGCATTGAATCACCTGAAGGTCTTGGCTTCGTTCTCGAGTGAACTCATCCACAGAGCGTGATATCACTTTGACCTTCATTGTCAGTAGAAGAAGTGTTTGCAAACACTTTCTGTTTCGAATCTTCAGACTCGAAATTCAGAAGCTGTAAATAGCATAGAGAGCACAAAAACCCTAACGTGATTGATGAAGCCCGAAGGATTTAATAACTTTAGCAATTACTAAATAAATAAATAAATAACTTTAGCAATTATTTAGGGTTAAGTATTAGTAATTTTTATAAGAAAAATGTTTTTCTCAAAGCTTGTCTCATTTTTTTTTTCTTATGTTACACATCCGTTGAAATTTAAATCAATATTTCTTTTTTTTTTCTTCTTCTTTTTTTAGTTGTGAGATCCACCTAATTATGTCTTTATATAAGAAAATACTATCTCATTTAACGTGGGAAAAAATAGCATTTTATGTAAATGTATTGCGTTATTTTTATAACAGATGACAAATATGATTAAAAAACGAAAAATATCATGACAACTTCCATGTCATAATTTCAGCAACATATTATATCAAAGTTTCCACCTACAACGGTAGTAAGTGGCGGTGGCGGCGACGGCGGAAGGTAGTGGTGTCGCTGCTGTGTGCTTATGTTTGGGGTATGGAAGGAAGTGGGTGGACAAGTTAAAAAAATCCAACCTCAAACCCAATATGTAACTTTCGACTCATCCGGCCCAAACCCAACTTGACATGTTACACCTTAAAAATATTATTAGCATCAGTTATGAGCTGATGATTTAATATTTGCAATCCAACCAATGGTGGAATCAAGAAATTTTTGGTGGGGCCAAGTTATACGTTCACTTTAAAAACTAGTAATTGAAAGTAAAAAATTATATAGTTAAAACTTAATATAAAATCATATTATAAATATAAATACTCAGTATAATATAATATATAAATACTCACTAATAAGAATATATATTATCTCATTTAATATAGGGTTTGTTTTTTCTGCAGTTACTGCAGATAACTTATCTGCAGTAAGCACAATACGACGTCGTTTTGAGGTGAAAATCATGGTATTTTTGTAAGTTCAATTTGTTTCAGGGTTATAATAGTCTTTATATTTATAATTTTCTAAGATTTCAATACCAAAATGACGTCGTTTTGGAAATAAATGCAGATAACTTATCTGCATTAACTGCAGAAACATTTTTCCCTTTAATATATTATATTTTGATAAGCCAATTGTAACGTCCTATCTGCGGCCGGTTAATTAGCATTTAAACATAATAAGTGCCGAAGCTAACTGGTTAACATTTTCCTTTTCCTTATATCTTTAATTTTTATCGCTTCTTTGGTCAAAAATAAAGCGTACAACATTTTGTTTGTATTTCGGACCACTGGGAATAATTTTCACCATAATAATTTCAACTTGATTGACAGTTTAATATAATCCAAACATAAATTATATTACCCCATCATCCATGGCATATGCTATCCCATACATAATAGGTCTGAAAATAATGTTCATGAAGCTACTTACATGATTGCATCAACCAATCAAAAGAGATGTAATTAAATAAGTAACTAGACATATGTAGACATAACTAACAAAATATATAAACTATCAACATAGCATAGACATCTCCTATGCTCATCAAAAGAATACAAGGCACGTACATCTCAAAAAATAACATCATGGCATGTACAAAATGAAATGTCAATCAAATTATAACTATCAAGTCAGATAGTATCTCTCCCCCGGTCTCCTATCGCGCGATGTCTCAGCACCTCAGCTACTGTACCTGAAATGGTAATCCTCATAATGCGGGGTTAGATAATATATATAATTACATCAGTAAGCTAGGGATGCAGTGTGCAGATAATAAATCCTATTGGCCAGAAAATATAACAAGTATGCATTACACAAGAAAACACTGTCTTGCAACACATCGTATGAGGAAACACCGTCTTGTGTGGCACACAAACATACATACATATACATACAACATATAACAGTTCATATCCACATACCATATGAAAGAACCACCCTCCCTTGGAGTTTGGTGGAACAAACGGGAGATTAACCTCAAAAACCGAAAGTTTACCTGTGAAGCAACGTCCTCCAATATATTCCTCGTGTCCAAGAGATCACAATCTTAGAGCCTATTTCAAAGATGTGAAGATAATCAGTGTATGAACTAATCTACCACATTCAAATCGATATTCTCTTTTGTCTATTCATTTGATCCGTGTTTTAACTCATTGAACAAGGACCTATATTATTTTCTTAAGGTTTCTCAATCTTAAGTAATGTCCCACTTTTTATTTTCTTTGCTTTCTTGATAACACAACCTCTAAATCACACCAAGTCAACTTATGGTCAAGGCAAGATATGTGTTCATGATTTAATACACACATAATAATTAAGTCCAAGGCTAGACAACTACTCAAACACATTATATCATTCATTATCTCAACATTAATCACTTACCGTCTTTGTAAATTTAGAGAAAAATTAGGTTTCTCAATCCAATGGCACCTTCAATGGATCCTCCTGAACTATTTGGTCTCCTTTCTCAATCCTATACCACAAACATCTAAGAAATAACAAGATAACACATCAACATCTCTTCCGAAATTCCTATTTTCGGATCACTATTCATCAAAAAACCTAGTTTTTGCATTCCTTCATGAAAACAAGAAAAGAGAGGTGATTCCTTAATGGAGGAAAAAGCTTACTTCAATCTCTCATGGTCTCAAGCTTCATCAAAATCCATCTTTTTCCATGAAATCCGAATTAGGGGAAGAATAACTCTTTCTACAGTGAACCTCACTCAAAAATATTGATACCAATGGATTCCTCTCAAATTTTCCTTCAAATTATGCTTTGGTAGCACTCAATTTCATTGACTCTAATTCCAACTTTGCATGTTGATTTATAATATTTGTGTGGTAATATGTATAATTTTACTTTCACTTTTTGAGTAACTTTATTTACCTGCATTTTTACTCCTTAACTGTCATTTTAACTAATTTTCTCTATGTGGCTGTAATCTTTTCATCAAACTACTTCTGTAATTAATTCTTCATCAATTATTATTATTCTATAATAATTTCATAAACTTTGTAATTACCGGTTAGGGTCATTATTCCAATTTTCATCTTAAAGAAAAATATAAAATCATATAAAATAAAATTATCATTCACATAATTTATAATGATTAGACAAATAGTATGCTGAAATATAAGTATAAAAATATTGATTTATATTTTATTTTATTTTTAAAAAAAATCAGTGATGTAGTAAAATATCAAGTACAATAACATAAATTCATAACATAATTTATATAAACCCAAGGTATTATTTTTTTAATCAAACGACGTTGAATGAGTAAATAAACTATGACTTGTTTATTCTTCGTTTTTTCATGGTCTCCTTTCACAATTTGCAATTTCGAACAGAACATCACAGATTCACAGCATAAAAGAAAGAGGAAATCAAGAAGAATATTAATTATATAAGGGTGAATTACGGGTAATGATTTTATAACTAATTATTACAACAATTTTTCTTTCTCTTCTCTTATCCATTAAATAACATACAAGAAGATTCACTCCCCATAAATTAGGAGTATAAGTAGACTAAACAGCTAACGAGGAGCTTACTGCCTTGTCTACATCAGCCCGACTTAATATAGTATATTTAGTAAAAAATAGAAGAAATTTAATTTTTATTTTTTTTTTAGAAAATAGGTCATAAGCTTATTTTTACAAAACTTGGCTAATAAACTTACAAGTTGATCTATATTGTATTATTTATTTTAATTAAAATAAAATAAATTGATTATTTATATAATTTTAATTAATAAAAACACATTATGTATAGGATATGGTGTTTGTCATTTTAAATGACATAAGTTATGTCATTTTATGAGATAGATAGACACAAAAAAATGAAAATCATGGGAGAGAGAAAGTGGGTGATTTTTTTAATTTAAATTTTAAATAAAAATAATAATTTTGTATCTATCTCTCTCTTGAAATGACATAACTTTATGTCATTTAAAATGAAAAATACTTTTCTCTTGTATATATATATATATATATATATATATATATATATATATATATATATATATATGGGATATGATATTGTGACACACAAATAATGTTACGCACAATGTTACGACCACATCTTAACCGTTGATTTCTGTCAATCAACGGTTATCATTTTTCAAATCAAACTCATTAATTAATTATTAATTCGCAATAAATGATAATCGTTGATTGGCGAAAATCAACGGTTAAGATGTGGTCGTAACATTGTGCGTAACATTATTTGTGTATCGCAGTATCCTATCCCTATATATATATATATATATATATATATATATATATATATATATATATATATATATATATATATATGCTAATTTTGATATATAGTTACTCAAGGCTTGATATATATGTTCAAGCAGGTTAATATGGCTAAGTTAGATCTTTTGATTTTTAAATATAAATCAAGTCAAGTTTATAACCTATATTATTTAAAATCAGTCCGGTCATTGACCCGGTCGAGGTATTGGGTCACTGGTTCAATCAGTGAGTCATTTGTTCAACCACATGGCCCGGTAATTATATATAATTCTATAATTTATATTAATAATTATAAACATACTCAAATATCTAAAAAATATTAAAATTTTCAAATATTTTAATATAAAAAATAATAAATCACATATTATTATCAGGAAAGGATCAAACAAAAATATAATGATCGTGATACGAGACTTCAGGTTTAGTAAATGGCATTTCTTACTATAAATCAAATCAAAATTTTATGCATAGTGCATAATTGAGAGAATATTAGTTTTATAAGTACATAACTCATGTAAGTCAATAAATAAAAAAATATTCAAATATGTCCATTGTTATTTTTATTTTTATGAAAAGACAAACTTTGGAATTTTTTTTTTTTTTTGGACCGGCCAGGTCGTACCAGTTGTAATGCATGACTGGTTCGTTGCTTTAACTGAACCGGTTATATGACCAGTTTATCATTTACTGTTTACCGAGTCAACCCAGCCGGATCGAGATTTTATTAACATTGGGCAAATAACTCGACTCATAATATTTTATATAAACCTAATTTATTTAGAACAAAGTCGAGTGCGACGTAATTC